CACACTTGTGTCTAGGAGTGATAGCTACACACCGATGTGGAGGAAAACTCTACACTTTCCGCGAGCGTGTAAGTCTCTTTCTTTCAACGGGAAACTCTCCTCCATTGATGTTATGAAATTGAAATTGTATTTATCATTCAATAGATTTATTGGATTTTTTTGTCAAGAAACATTTCCTTTCTCAGCTCATTTACATGTCATTATGCAGCACTATGTGGTTCTTCCCCTGCTATTTGTTTCTTTTTTTTACATTAACGATTCGTGATTATGTCCAGATTATCACAAAGTTCTTTTGCATAAACAACTGCTTTATTAACTAATTGATATTTATTCTTTGTAAAAAATAATTTTAAAGCTTCTAATTTGTCATCACATTGTTGTATTTTTAATCTTTTTGTTTAGAGGTTGATCATTTATTTCCCGAAAGACTAACAATTTGAATATCTATTCCATCACTTTCTAATTTTACCAATACCACGGTTAAAATAGACTAAACACTTTTTTTAGTGTCGATTAAATCAATTAAGAAACCACTACATACACTTTATTTCCGTCCTAACGTAGCATAAAACCTGGTTATTTTAATCCTCATGAGAAGTATCAGGGGTTTTTTCAAATGCAACTGAAAAATATTTTCTAATACCTGTTCAATGACTTTTCTTTTGACTTTTCTTCCAAAATATCAATAAACTTGTTTTGAATGGTAAATGACATGTAAGATAAATAATTTTTTTCCAGTTTGATTCTCACGTAGCACGGGGTCAAATTTTGTTAACAAATGAACAATTTTTATTTAACAATATTTTAAAAATTTTATGTTTTGCATTTTTACCAGAATGCCATAACATAGTATTTTTTTAAAAAAGCAATTTATATTTTCAACTGCAACGACTGCAAATTGAACATATTTTTTGTGTCAAATATTTTGTTTCTGAGAAAATTTGTTTCTAAGAGCTCATCGATAAGATTTGGGCAATGACGATCAAGACAAAACTACAGGAAATAGATGAAATTTATTAGAATTAATAAATTTTCTATTTATTAGAATTAATAAATTTTCTATTTATTATTTGAAATTTATTAGAATTAATAAAAATTCTAATAAATTTCATCTATTTCCTGTAGTTTTGTCTTGATCGTCATTGCCCAAATCTTATCGATGAGCTCTTAGAAACAAATTTTCTCAGAAACAAAATATTTGACACAAAAAGTATGTGCAATTCGCACTCGTTGCAGTTGAAAATATAAATTGCTTTTTTAAAAAAATACTATGTTATGGCATTCTGGTAAAAATGCAAAATATAAAATTTTAAAAATATTGTTAAATAAAAATTGTCGCCCTTATTATTATGTTGCTTGGGGCGAACCACCCCCACCTCCCCACTCTTACTACGCCACTGCTAGGGTAGAAATAATTTGCAAATGAAAACTTGAATTTGCAATAGAATTCAATTTTGGTCTTATGAGTCTATCTACGATCTCATTTGCTTATAGCTTAGTACAATGAGTATAACTATTCACCTCAAAATCGTCATCTTTTTTGCAATCTGTAACAACAATTTCTGTTTCTAAAATAGAAGTGTTACAAGGTCGCAAAGTGTAATTTGTACCATCTTTTTTAATGTTTTTTTGTAATTTTTCGAAAAAGATTAGCAACCATTCCAGAATCCAGAGAAGCATTAAATTCTGTATCAAATGCAAAAAAAAATTTATCTTTCGATTTGATATCGATTTCTGAAAAGCTAATTTCTTCATTAAAATTTGTAAGAAACAATTACTAATAATATTTAAGTTCATGTTTCTAATGTTTATGCTTCATTTAGAATTTAACATCAAAAAGTACATAAAATATCTAAGTTGCTAGTTAAAAATTTAAGCTATAATTTTTAATTTATATTAGTATTAGCAGAAACACATAAGACTTATACCTAAAAAAATTAGAACAGTAGAACAATTGACTTCAGTAGTTTCCGTTCTCTTTACTAACGCATAATTTTGATGTTAAAACATATTTTCGAAATGCTGTTCAGTGACGGATCCATGGAGGGTGGGGGATTAATTGAGGTATTCATCCCTCCCCCACCAACAGAATCTAAAAGTCCTAAAATATCTTTTTTTTTAAGAGATGATAAAAAATACAAAAGTATTTCAACATCCCCCACCACCACCACCAAAAATTCCTGGATCCGTCACTTATGCTGTTAATAATTAAACGTTTTAGTGCGCACCAGGTCACAAACCCGTTGTTACAAGAAAGATTAAAACCGTTTTCAAACAGATAGCTGTAGCTTGTCAACCAAGTAAGATTCATTTCAGTTATGTTATGAAGTTGAAACTCTTAGAAAGTACTCTTTCTATTGCATTCTAATGTACTTTCATATTTTCATTCTTATTTATGCTAATCAATGACTTATCATTACCATTAATTATAAAATGTCATCAACGGTTGAATTAGCTAAAATATCCTCAACAGAGTGTTGATAATTTGGCAATTTTGCAT